TATTGCATTACCTCCCGAACAAGGTCTCTACACTAGGAAACTGCGATTTTTTGATGAAAGTAATCTCACAATTCCCCCAAAACAATGCATATAATTTCAAAAATGTAAAATCACATGTGTCATATGATGGTAGACCATTGCTCACCTCGCTGCGTTCGAAAGCAAATCGTAAACTATCCAACTACGATTGCTGGCATTATCACGCACACTATAGAACTCTTTCACAAGTGAGATCTGTCAGAAAATTGAATGCCAAAATGCAAAATGTTGACGCTTTCACTTCCCTAGAAAGCCTAATTGTTGTTCACGATTAAAAAAAGCTATGGTGAATATTTGACGAGGTATGAATGGAATCCCAAACCACTTTAGATGAACAACTCGTTTTCTTCACAATAACGGCAGTCAGAGAAAAGCTTGTTCTCATTTCGATTTCACTTTTTTTGATCACTTATTTTGATTGCTCAATGAGAACACCGAAATTTGAGCTGATCGCAGCGAAAATCGGGTTGAGTTCCATTGAGACAACACATTTAAAGTGGATATGCAATTCTCTGGAGGGTCCTTGATCCTTGCGACTCAATATGATATAAAGTGATTAACAGACTGACAGGTGACGTAAAAGAACGGTTTACAACTACATCAGAGAAACAGAAAAACGAACAGATGGGGAAAAGTTAAGCGGCGATCCAATGACTAAAGAAAGATGTGTGAAATTGTAAAGGATGAGCAATACCATTCAGCATGATATAGATAATATTCAAGAAAAGCCGCAAACGAGAACCAAAAGTTTTCCAAGAACATATTGAGCTCCTGTTCGAAACTCCAAATCTTCCCGTGAATCTGCTCCCCGAGGTTTGGCCCGGGTGTTAAACAATCACACATTTGCTCCGATAATAGTTAAAGAACTAGGCTATCACATTTGTTAAACTAAGCGCTGCATCTGGAGCAATTTGTGATTGCAGATAGAGCAAAAAATAAGAAAGAAAATCACCCTCGAAGGGTGAGGGTAGTGGAACGTGAGTGCATCGGATTTTGTGTAACACGACCTTAGCTTCGCTCAACACTGAATCCTGAACAGGCTGCAACGGTTCAGATTCACATCATAAATAGTAAACAAGGCACTAAACAAAATAGGGACTAGGCACTCGAAAACATTGAACAAATGCAAGAAAAAACAAACAAATAATCATCATCCAGCGAGAAAATGCCATCTTTACCGTAAGCTCTAGGCGTCAAATAGAAAACAGTCCAGCATTTGCAAGCACACCATCAGTTTGCGCTTTATTTCTCGCCTAACTTACAAAGTTACTCAGCTTCAGGGTTATGTAGTCCAGCATTTGCAAGTGCACCATCAGTTTGCGCTTTATTTCTCGCCTAACTTACAAAGTTACTCAGCTTTAGAGTTATGTTTAGTGCTGAATGCTGCGATAAAATCGACGTGGGTCAGACAAGGAAGCAACCGTTTTCGAGATTTATCTCCTAAATGAACTTAAATTGTCCTAAGTAGGAGTAGGTTCATGCAGAATAGGCTCTAAAAGTATTCTCTCTAGAAGAGGAAACACGTGGATCCTTTTTAAAGGGTAATGGCTTATGAAGAAGGTAGGCTTCGAAAAGAGAAAGAAGAACAATAGTACAAAGCAGGCCTATCGGCTGCATGAGATTGAGCCGGCGCAGCGCGGTCGCAGCTCCACCTCGGAGCAGCATTGCTGGAGTTTGCTCAAAACTTAAACTCCTTGAGATGAGTGTCTAATGTTCCAAACGATCTCCGTCGTCCCAGCATGGATTCGACTTCACTACGGAAACTTCTGAAGCACTATAAAGCAAGAGATGTTTTGCATTAATTCAATAGCAGTGTTTGAAAGTTCTAGTTGGCTCGACAAATGCCAGTGAGCGGGTGCTACCACTGGCTGCGATTACGACCACCCGAACGGACCACTTCAGATCCTACATTCGCCGCTCTGCTATGCACACATGCCACATTCAGTGAGCGGAGGAGATAGTAATGACCACGAGGATATCGTAGCCTCTCCTCATTTTCAGGTTGTCGCAACATTTCGTGAAATGTTAATGAAACTTCGTTACCTACTCCGATCACGCGTTGTGAAGGGGAAAATCTGATCTCCGAGTGAAAGGATCGTTGCCTGAAGTGGGAATTTGGGTACGATTACAGTCGCCAGTAATGGGAAGATTCATTGGTTCTTCTTCGAAATACAACCTCTCCCTAGCCACTCTCTCACTGAAGCAGCATACTTCTGCGGTTAATTTTGACAGAGGTCCATTCCTGAAGATTGATAGATGAAAATATGGCGCATGTACAGATCCCAATCTTTGCAGTACGGTAATCTTTGAGCCTTGGCACCCAATCACAGGAACCCCTACATTGGTGCCCACGGTTAGAGGTAATAAGGTGGGTGGTCTGGATAAGTTGCCCAACACAGAAAATACATCTTACGGGCAGAGTCGGTTGGCAATCAAAAACCCACGCGCTATAATGGCAGAGTGGCATTTCAGAGTGGCGCGCTGAGCGTTGAGCGAGGAGCGTTCGAGCGTTGCCGGTCACCTGTTGACAATGCTGGACATAGGTAAATACTGTGCAGTCGGCGATAATAATTTCCTGGCCGGCAAGGAGAAGGATCACGGACATGATAAAATCGTGATGCAGCATCGAGTGTAACTTCCCTAGAAAGAAAGAGACGAGCAGAAAAGAGAGAAATTGCTGGTGTATTGAAATGTTTCATGGAACCAATAGCCAGGAATTTGGCCTCTGTCTTCACATTCTTCCTCTACCTCCACTGAAATCAGCTGGAAAAGTTGAGTCCTCGACGACAGCTTTGCTTTTTTCCACTTGTAGACCACTCATCGCTTCCTATTAAGTTTCGACCATCCCCGTCGTGTCCGTGTCCTTTCGGAATGTGTCTTCAAGTACCTTGCCACAATGCAAACTGCTTCATTACCATTGACTTAAAATTTTCGCGCGCGCGGGAACGTTTTAAATGTAAATGATAGGTGCTAGGAAATTCATCTCCACTGACCAGGCCAAGACCTTTCCTTTTTCTTTTTAGTTCGTCTTATCTAGCGAAAGTGTATTTTTACGTATGAGAGTGCCCTAAACATTGTGAGTTGCTACTGCAGGATTTTCCAATTATGTCAAAGCACGACTCAATTCCATGGGTAGAAAAGTATCGCCCACAGAAGTTAGAAGAAATAGTTGGAAATGAGGAAATTGTTCAGTCTCTGGGATTTTTCGTCGAGAAAGGAAATCCGCCTCATTTTATCATGTCGGTAAGCTAACTCGACTATATGGTTCACTTGTTTTTTTTTAGCTAATAGAGCTTGAGTTGTTTATCTGATTTCCTTGAAGGGACCACCTGGCTGTGGGAAAACGACGGCTATTTGGGCAATGGCACGAGAATCACTAGGGGAACACGTGAAGAACGGCGTACTCGAATTGAATGCTTCTGATGATCGGTGAGAAAGTTATGAACAATTTCCATAGCTGTTGGTAATTTTGAAGAAGAACTGCTGGTTAGTGACAACGTTCCACAATTTATATATTTGACTTATCGAAGTGCCTGGG